TGTTCAGGCAGTCGATGTCCATGGCGATGGGCTCTTGTAAGAGGGATGGGAATGGTTCTGGTTCATGCATGGCTTTTGGTTGCTGGATGGGTATTGCCGTGTTGGGAGGAGGGGTGGTGGTGGTGGTGGTGGTCATCATCATCGTGGCTGGGGGGGGGGAATGAACAATGGGATGGTTGTTCTCCGGAGAAGGCTTCGTCTGTGGGTTGTTGGGAACGACTGGCTGGGACGGAGGTGGCGCTGAGCTCGACGGCTGGACGGGAGGGTCGATGATGCTGGAGATGGCGGGAGATGCACTGGCACGGTACACCGGACGGGGAGGGGGCGTCCTCGCGTTGGGGGGGGGTCCGAGCTGGCTGTGGGTGGGGGGGAGAGAGATCTTGGACGAGGCGGATGCATGGGGAGCTGCGACGGAGGAAGTCTCGAAGGCGGAGCGGATGGGGTCGTAGTTCTGGCCGCTGGAGCGCTGGGCAGGAGGGTGTTGCTGCTGCTGCTGCTGCTGCTGCTGCGGCGGCGGCGAGCAGTGCCCGAGGCGGAGGGCGGAGCGGAGGGCGGAGCGGAAGCCAGGGCGGGCGCTAGCACGGAGGTGGAGGGCGGAGCGGGTTGCAGGTGGAAGGAGTGGAACGGAGGGCGGGAGCTGCCATTTGCGGGGAAGGCGTCATAGGTGCCGTTTTGGGAAAGGGCATGGGGGTGGTGTGGCTGGAGGTGTGGCTGGAGCGGGGACGAGACGGAAGGTGCAGATGAGGCTGGAGCACCCAGGTGGAAGGCGGCTGACGAGGCCGGGAGAGTGGGCGAAAGCGTCGAAGGAACTGGAGTCGAGGGAGCAGAAGCAGAAGAAGCAGCAGCAGCAGCAGCAGCAGCAGCAGCAGCAGCAGCAGCAGAAGAAGAAGAAGAAGAAGAAGAAGAATCGGCATTGGGCGTGACGAGGTCGGTGATCTTAGACTGCCGCGCAGGGGCCAGGGGCTTGTGGCTCTCCCGGGGGTGTTCCAGCTTGGCCCGTTTGCGCGATGCTCCGCGATCGGCGTTGTCATTGCTGATGACGGGAGAGAGTTGCTGGTTCGGATTATTGCTGTTGTTGGTCGCGTTGTTGGTGGTGTTGTTTTTGCCGTTACTGGTGCGGCGTCTGCGGGGTTTTGCGTCTGCGTCTTTCTCTTTCTCTTTGGCCACCTTTGGCTCCTTGTCTTCCTTCTTTCGGCGGGTGCGTTTCATCTTGGTGGTGCCAGTGGTGGGAGCGTCGGTTTGTTTGTCGCTCTTGACGTCAGCGTCCGTAGCTGGAGCTGGCGCTGGCGCTGGAGCTGGCGCTGGAGCTGGAGCTGGAGCAGCACCGGTGGTGGTTGGGCCAGGAGTAGGCGCAGCATGTGGAGCCTCTGGATTAGGTGTAGAAACCCGGGAATGAAAATGAGCGGGCGTGGGAACGCTCTCACACTCGGATAGATTGGGAGAAGACAAGTCCGGCGATGACGAGTTGATTTTAACTGGTAGCTGCGGCTGCTGGAGATCATCCTGTTGAGGCTGTACTTGCGACTGTATCTGCGGTTGTGCTGGCGGGTGAGTGTTCTGGCTCATTTCTCCCCGTCGCGTGCGGCCTCTGCCTCGCCAGCCCTCGTCCGCGGCATCTCCAGACATGGAAGCTTTTCTCCCCCACGGTCCACAGTTGCAGGATGCAAGACGCAGCAGGAAACAACAATCAAATAAAATCAAATAAAAATACGATCGATCCACCCGTGTCTGGAATAGCCACAGACGGGTGCTGGATCGTTTTCTTTTATTTTCGGATTTCTGTTCTCCTTCAAGATCCCGAAGCACCCTCACACGCATACGGAGGATGTGTAGGAACGATAGAACGAATGTCAGTTTATTTTCCAAGAATACTGTCTGAGAATTCTCTCTTTTTTTTTTCTTTTTTTTCTTTCTTTTTTTTTTTCTTTTCTTTTTCTTTTTTCTTTTCTTTCTTTTTTCTTTCTTTATTATTTTTCCTTTTTGCCTGGTTGTTGATGTCTGGTTTGCGAAATAGAATGTTATTTAATTTTAGTTCTGTGCAGCTTGTTCCGCAGCCAAATAAAATAAATCACGTGTTGGAGTCGAGGTTGTGTCGTTGGTTTGGAAAAGTGGCAGCTGGGTTATTTTAAAACATTGGGGGATTGGTGGAAATCCGCTCTTTTATTAGTGGGCGGGGTTTTTGAACCAGTGACCGTTGGGAGACAAATCGAGAAACGTCGCTGGGACGCAGGGGCGACGAGAGAGTGAGTGGATGGTTTGTTGGCTGTTTGGTGGTTTAGGGTTTTGGCACGAAGAACACGAATACCGAAAAGTTGAATGATTATTGTTTTGTGTGGAATGAACGGTTGGATGTACTGCTTGGTTGGGTTGGGGGGGTTTGGGCTGGCGTGGCGAGGCGAGGCAAACCACAGGGAAATTAAAGGGGGGGGATTGATTGATTTTACGAGCGAGGAATTTTACCCGCGATCGTGAAATGCGGAAAACACGGGGGATCTTGGACGATGGCAACGGGCTGAGCAGGGTGGGTTTGGTTTGAAGATTATGGTTTGGTTTTGGTGGTGTCGAGGATGGTGTGCGCGACGAGAGACAAAAAAAAAAAAAAAAAAAAGGTCGAATGACCAGCGATGAATGAAGTGGATAAGGGTGTGTGCACAGGGAGCTTGGGGGGGGGGGGGGGGGGGGGCAAGGATGAAATGGGAACACGCCGGAGACGTTGGCACGGGCAAGAAAAGAAGAGGAGGAAGTTGGAAGAAAGAAGAGGAGGAAGCACACGTAAGGAAAGTAAGTAAGTAAGAAAGAAAGAAAGAAAGAAAGAAAGTAAGTAAGAGAGAGAGAGAGAGAGAGAAAAGAAGGGGATGGCAGCAGGTATTTAATATGGTTTGAGCGAGAGGCAGAGACCAAGGCCCCACGAGCTACTTGTTGAAGCAGCAGCAGTAGCAGCAGCAGCAGCAGGTTGAAAGGGGAAAAAGAGAAAAAGAGAAAAGGCCAGAGAGCAGAGCAGAAGAGCAGAGCAGAAGAGCAGAAGAGCAGAGCAGGGCAGAGGCGAGACGGCGTCTGGGAAAGGTTAAAAAAACGAAGGGCCGTGGTTAAGTTGACACTTTGATTCCTTAGCTATAATTAATTCTTTGGGGAGCGTCCCACGGAAGAGCCAGCAAGCAGCCAGCGATGGGTTTGCGGTCCGATGCTGCTACTACTACTACTACTACTACTACTACGCCTGATTGACTTGGCTCTTCCGGCTGGACTGACTGATGGCATGTCAAAATGCATGTCACGTACGTACGTATATTGTACATTCATAGTATGGACCAAATGCTTCGGGATGGATAGAGAAGAAGAGTTCTGAACTCCTAGAACGACTGCCCAGTTTGGCTAGCCGCTGAGCATATATATATATTAATGATTAATGTGAAGATGCCCCGCTCCAACCTATTACCTATTACCTATTACCTATTACCTATTCCCACACTCCCCTAGCAATAATATATCCCTGTTCCGCCGTGTTTATTGTGTGTATTGGTTTATTGGTTATTTATCCACGGGTTCTCTAGCCCCCAAGCATCCAATGGATACACGTCGGGCCCCTTAGACGCTGCACTCGCCACAGCAAGCCACATCCGACTGCGTGCAGCTTAGAGAAATGGCCAACCCAGACAGGAATAGAAGAAGCCTGTGATGGAAGATTTTCCTTGGATTCCGCAGTTGCAAGCTCCAACCACCCGCACTTGGAGGATAAAAGATAAAATATAAACCACACACACAACCCCCTCGCAGTTGCTCATTAAATTCCCCCCACCCACCACTCACTCATTCCACCGCGTTTTGTTTCAAATTCCTGACCATATAATTCCTCCATGCGCCCACTCTCTAGATCTGTCTGTTGCGCCCGGGGGGGACTGTTCCACGTGATGCCCAACCTTAACCTGCGTCTAGACCTGCGCTAGTCCCAAAACAGAACTGGGTTGGGTCACGTGTTAATAGCTATCTTATCGATGACTAAGCTCGAATGGAACCGTGTCTCTGGGAAAGCTTCTTTTTTTTTTTTTTTCTCTCTCTCTCCAAACTACAACCGAACAATTCGACAAACCAACAACCACAAAAAAGTTAAGGGGTTCCTGTCTTATTGCAGTGTAGACACATGGCTGTCCGCGGAGAGCGGTTTCACATCAACCTCTCTTCTGACGATGAGGATGACAATGTTCATGGCTGTCCCTCCCTTGCGTCCCCTTCCCTCGATTTCGTGGGGGATGTCAGAGAACGAGCTCCCTCGGCTGCACCCCTGCCGCCTGCTCCCCTACGACTGTCCTCTGCATCTACCGGTTTTCCAGAGCACCGGAAACGTTCCAGGATATCTGCTTTTAAACAGCAAAGGGCAGACAGAGATTCAGCGGCTTATAAACAGCCGCCGCCACGTCGTGCTTCAACGACGCCGGGAGCGAGCCTTGCGTCCTCGACCACCGCGGAGAAGAACTCTATAGGTGAGGAAAACAAAAGGAGACTGGCTGCCATGTCTCCTGCTGAGATTGAACGGGAGCGTGGAGAACTGATCTCTGCGCTCCCGCAATCGCTCATCGAACGACTCCTACGCAGAGCCAACATCGACGAAGACCACCAGCAGGAGGGCATCAGACCTGCAACTAGTAAGGAGAATAAAGACGGCAGTTGTACTCCAAAACAACAACCGGAACAATCAGGGGGTACATCTACTTCTGCGCAACCCACAAAACCCATCAATTCCGTCTCATTCGACGTCCCCTCATCGTCACCACCGCCAACGACAGAGAACCAATCCTCCCAGCAAGCTACTACCACAGAAGACCTCCCACCCCACCACCCCCCATCCGAACTCTACTCAGCCTCTGCATTCCCAACCGGCCCCATCCACTTCCCCAGACCACCACCTCGCCAGTCACCAATGCCAAACCTCGACCCTTCCTCCCCTTCCTTTTTCGAAGACCTCCAAACCCACTACTTCCCTGACACCCCGCACGACCCCTCCCTACTCTCCTGGTTCCAACCCGACTCCTATTCATCCGCCACCGACTACGGCCCGTACCCGCCGGCATCCCCCTACCACCCCGACAGCTCCGCCACCTCCGTCTCCCCAGCGTCCCTCCGCTTCTCTCTCGCAGGCAACATTCTAGCCCCGCGCACGTCGCTCGCAATCCCGACGACGTTGGGGTTGCATCACCATGCGCACGACCCTGAGGCGGCGGGATATACGATTTCTGAACTTGCCATTCTGTCTCGCTCGTCGTTCCCTGCGCAGCGGTGTTTGGCGTGGCAGGTCCTTGGGAGGCTGCTGTATAGATTGGGGCAGGGGGAGTTTGGGGAGGAGGGGAGTACCCTCGTTGAGGGTTTGTGGAGTGCTGTGGAGAGGGAGGGCGTTGTTGCCGGGATGCTGGCGGAGGCTGCTGCTGGTGGTGGTGGTGGTGGTGGTGGTGGTGGTGGGCCGAATGCTGCGGGTAGGATTGGGAAGCATGCTAGTGCGAAGGCGTGGGCGACGGAGGCTGTGTGGCTTTGGAGACGGGGCGGAGGTGGGGAGAGAGGGCTGACGAGGGAAGGGGCTCTGAGGTCGAAGTAGATTGGTACATTTATGTCTGTTGTTGTGTCCATATTCATTTTGCATCTACTGGGTGTACGCATGGTTTTGATTCAGGCGCATTTGCATTATTGCGCTTTGCAGAGGGATCAGGCATGTGTTGTTGCTGAAGACGCTATGGACACTGCTGAGTATGAATGATACATGATGGGCCCGAGATGTTGCACCCAGAGCGGAAAAGGAGGAGAATAGTTTCTAACGTGCCAGCATTAGGCTGTAATTCCAGAACGGAGTTGGATGGAAGCTTGGAACTCACGGGTTGTACAGGGGTAGGGCGACATGCTTTTCACCAATAATAAGCAGTCCCAGAGCACAACCCTGCCCCTCACCCCACTTCTGAAGGCATGGGAAAATATGGAGATTCAGATACAAGGGGGTGATGGCAAATCTGTCAGGACAAAACCCCGCTTGGATTTTTTTTCTACCTGTCGTTGGAGTGACGTGTCAGAATACTGTCACTAGCCTGTGACGGTAGGAGTTGGGGGGGGTGGATGAACTGTCTCTGCGCATTATCCTCCGACAGCATCTCGGATATTTATACCTCTCGCCCAGCGTAGGAAATATTGATCTGCCATGACGGCCCTTACGCTATAAATATTTCATAGTAGACAAACAGTCACCTCATCGAGTGTACGACACAGACAGAGTCCAGGCGACAAATAGCAAAAGCAAAACAAATGCCCGGTCCCATTCTCCGCGTGGCCATCACGCAAGCTGAGCCCGTATATCTCGACCTCGATGCCACGGTTGAGAAGACGGTGAAGATTATCGAAGAAGCAGCCCAGGGCGGCGCGAAGCTCATTGCCTTCCCGGAATGCTGGATCCCGGGGTATCCGGGGTGGATATGGTGAGCAAAAATTTAACAGCCAAAATTACCAACCCGTTTCCC